CCACCTCTAGCTGCCTGAGCAGGTGGAGTGGCAGTTGGAGCTGTAATCATAGCCTAGGAACCTTGTGGAGCACGCTGTGGCTGAGAAGTATGTGACGGTGCACCCCTCCTAAGTCTGGGGCAATCCCTCACCATATGTTCTGGGAGGACGTGACGGTTGTGGCTAACTCGGACCAGGTTTGCTAGACCGACCACTGAATGCACCCCGTGTAGGAGGCACACTAGATATCGGAGGTGCATAATAAGGCTCCTGAGGTCTAGGAGGAGCTGGAATACCACTGGCTGCTGGAAGAGCTGAATGAACGGGGCGGCTTACATAACCCCTACCATGACGAACTGCAGCTGGGGCACAGGCACCAGAATAATGGCCCGACTCTTGAGACCTCTTGGCCTCTCTCTCCTCCCTATCCAGAGCAAGCATGCCCTCTACTCTCCTAGCAATACTCACCACCTGCTGATACGCAATATCCATCTCTGACTCCCGGGCCATGCTAGTCCTGTTGCTGGGAATGAGTCCCTCAATAAATCGGCTAACCCTCTCTCGAACTGTAGAAACCAAGGCCGGTGCATGTCTAGCCAAGTCACTGAAACAGACTACATACTCTGAAACATTCATGGTACCCTGGCGCAACTGCTCAAACTCCGCACGCCATGCGTCCCTGAGGCTTTGACGGACGTACTCTCTCAAAAACATGTCCGAGAACTGAGTCCATATAAGGGAAGCTGCCTCAGTCGGACTGTCCAACTCATAAGTATGCCACCACTGATAGGCTGCTCCTCGAAGCTGAAAGGCAGTGAAAGAAACCCCACTCGACTCTGCTATGCCCATAGTGCAGAGGATATGGTGGCGCTCCTCCAGAAATCCCTAAGCATCCTCTGATGCTAGACCACTGAATGTAGGAGGGTCATACTTTTTGTACCTCTCAAGCCTCCGCTGCTCCTCCTCTGAAGTTGCTGCCCTACCCTCGGGCTGAACTGGGGCTACATGCGGTACCATTATAAACTCTAGGATCTGATCAACCTGAACCCGCTACTCTGGGGTGCAGGCGGCGGGAGTCTGTGCTCTTCTCCCAGCCTGAGATGTGGCTGCAACAAGGGGGATCAACCCTACCTGAGCTAGAGTGTTGTACATGCTCATGAACTGTGCAAGGGTGTCCTGAAGAGCTGGAGCAGTAGTAGTAGGCGTATCAGATTCCTGTGGTCCGGCTAGAGCTACTGGTGGCTCCTCTGTAGCAGCTCGCCCGGGTGCTCTGGCCGCACCACGGGAACGTCCTCGGCCTCTACCCCGGCCCTGACCTCTGGCGGCTCTAGGAGGGGGCGCGGGTGCCTGGTCATCTCCGATAGCACGTGTCCTCACCATCTGTGAGAGAATAGAAGACACAAGTTTAGAATTTCGAAGTCAATAATCTTGCACGACAAGGAATCAAAAGAAGTGGAATTTTCCTAACACTTCCATAGCCTCCCGGAGATAAGTACAGACGTCTTCGTCCCGATCCGCGAGACTCTACTAAGCCATCTTGTGACTCACGACTCCTATGAACCTAGAGCTCTGATACCAACTTGTCACGACCGAAGTTCTTCCTCCGTGAACTATCGTGACGGCACCTAGTCTCTACGACTAGGTAAGCCTAATACGGCAGAATGAAATAGAAACAAAAGGTAACAGCTAACGAATATAGTAAATAGCCAGAAACGATGCCGCTTGGCATATACAATTTCACTTTTCCCAAAACCCGGATGTCGCAAAAGGAAAAACAAATATTTGCTTAATGAAAACAGGTTTTTTCAACAATAGCCCGTGTACGCACTCGTCACCTCACGTACACGGTGCTCACATATCAAACAGTGCCAAATCCTAAGGGGAGTTCCCCCACTCAAGGTTAGGCAAGCCACTTACCTCAAACTCAAGGCCACTCAAAGCTCAATCACAGCTTTGCCTTTCAAACACGCCTCCAAACCAACAATATCTAGCAAATTACCAACCAAACGTTTCAAAATAAGTCTTAGGAATCACGCGCGATAAACAATGACTCAATTTGGGTCATTATTGAAGAAATCAATAAAAGTGCCCGCTTGGTCCAAATCCAAAATTCGGACCAAAATCCAATTACTCATTCACCCCTGAGTCCGATATATAATTGGTTTTGGAATCCGACCTCAATTTGAGGTCAAAATCCCCAAAATTTAAAATCCCTAATTTCTACCCAAAAATCCCCAATTCCACCATGAAAACCTTAGATTCTAGGTTGAAATCTTGTAAAATGAAGTGAAAGATTGAAAGAAACTAGTTAAGAATCACTTACCTATGATTTGAGGAAGAAGAAGTCTTTGGGAAATCGCCTCTTGGGTTCTAGGTTTTGAAAATTTGAAGAATGAATGAAAAATCCCGTCCAAAAGTAATTTTGATCAGTTGCAGGTGTCGCATTTGCGACCTGAGCTTCGCAATTGCGAAGCTCGCAAATGCGAAGAACCTATCACAATTGCGAAGGTCTCCCCATTCCTGCTTGCTTCGCAATTGCGAAGAAAGTCTCACAAATGCAAGCCTGACCTTCCACAATTGCAACCCAATGATCGCAATTGTGATCCCTGCCATTCCCAGACTCCCTTCGCAAATGCGAAGGATTGTTCGCAATTGCGAACATTGACCTCCACAGCTACTCTTCGCAAATGCGATGAGTAGGTCGCAAGTGCGAACCCAACAGTGGTCGCAAATGCAAAGCTTTGTCTCGCAATTGCGAGACCAGAGGCTCTGCAACAAGAACTGAAGCACACCAGTAATTTTCTAAGTTCAAAACACTCCGTAGCCTATCTCAAACTCACCCAAGCCCTCGCGGCTCCAAACCAAACATGCACACAAGTCTTAAAAGATCATACGAACTTGTTCGCGCGATCAAACCGCCAAAATAACACCTAGAACCACGAATTTAGCACCAAATCAAATGAAATTCTCAAGAACACTTCGAAATTTCTATTTTCTCAACCGGACGTCCGAATCACGTCAAACTACTTCCGTTTTCATCAAATTTCACAGACAAGTCTTAAATATTATGTTGAACCTGTACCGGGCTCCAGAACGAAGGTCCCGATACCAACAAGATCAAACATTAAGAATTTCTTAAAAACCATCAAAATTTTCAAACTATCAATTTTCAATAAAAATTCATAATTAGGGCTAGGTACCTTCGATTTCTATTCTGGGCATACGCCCAGGTATCATATTTTTATACGGACCCATCGAGACCGTCAAAATACGAATCCGGGTCCGTTTACCAAAAATATTGACCGAAGTCAACTCAAATGAAGTTTTTAATCAAAATTTCTTATTTTTATCAACTTTCAACATAAAAGCTTTCCGGAAAATACGTCCGGACTGTGCACGCAAACTGAGGAGGGATAAAATGAGGTTTTTAAGGCCTCGGAACACAGAATTTGGTTTTTAATTTATAAGATGACTTATCGGGTCATCACACTTTCATGGTTAGTTATTAATTGTTGGATAGGCTTTTGAAAGTTACTTAGTTCTCTTTCTGATTGATTTTACAGAAGAGTTCGATTTTCTTTTATTATATTTTTGTATTTGATATTTATTTATCTGATAAATATAATATTCATATGATTTTAGGACGAGATTAGGAGGAATGAATTCTTTGTCTTTTAATTTTTTTAATATGCCATGTATTTCATAGTTCTTGTAAAAATTTTATTGGCATGAAAACATAATCATATTAATTTATGATATAAGCTTTAATTATTGATTTAAACTTCATGTTGCTTAGTATATTTATGTTCGTCTGTAACTTTATTTACATATTTGATATTTATTTATATACTGTTCTCATGCCCATTTTGGTTGTACAAACTTTTCTAAGATCAGAATAAGCAGACGACTCAAAAGAAGGGAATAAAATAGTGAGAATAACCCTACGTTTTTTTTGAGATGGTTAGATTCATTTTTCTTATACAAAAACTCTAATTTTTCAAATTGTTTTCTAAAAATTTTGCACCCTTGAAATTACAACAATTGAAAATGTAATACAAGCTAAGGTTACTATATATGGAAATTATCACAAATATAACAATGCTAAATTGATAAGAAAAAAAATATAAAATCGGGATGAAGCATTTGTAGTCAAACACATTATTCTTGTACATATATTTACTTGATACGAGACACACGTGCAAAGCGCGTACACTAAACTAGTAGAAAATGAAACGGATGGAGTACTCATTAATTAGGGGAGTGTGTGTGTCTATATATATATATACTATATATATATAATATATATATATATATATATATATATATATATATTATATATATATATATATATATAATATATATATTCGAACCCATAGCCTCTGCATTCGTCAAATGGCAAGTTTTTGGACTAGTAATTGAAAAATAACCAATATTTATAAAGTGATGCAAAAATAGCAATTATTTAATGCGAAAAAAATTTGAACAAAAATACCTTTAGTTGAAACACACAAAAAGATTAGCATAATATGCTGGATTATGGACTTCCTTATAAAACTACAACATATTATGTTGATAGTCTAACACATTATGAATTCCAGCACATTAAATATAGTAAAAAATTCAACTCCAGCATTTTATAATATGCAGAATTCTTTTTGGATCTTAACTGAGGTTATTTTTGTCTAAATTTTATTACAAAGTAGCTAAATTTTAATCAATTTTATACTGTGCTAATTTTCAATGTAAATTCCATGTCTGGATTGTTGTTCTCTTAAATCGCGGCTAAGACTTCCACTTCTGTTGCGTCTTCCTTATCGCCGTCAGCCTAAAGAATTAGTTCTCCTAGCACTGTAGGAAGACTGGACTTCTACGAACAACATATCTCCCCTATTAGGACTACCTCAGGGAAGGCAGATAGCTCTTAAGCAGGGATCTTTTAATGCAGGTAACCCAGAGGACAGAGTACCCAAAATGCAACAATAATAAGTTTGAACAGGCAACTTAACATTCAGAATAAAGAATTATCAGCAGAAATATGTAATTTCCAAAGATATACATTAAAAATGCAATTCAACATTTAAAGTTACAACATGTCAGGATACACATTTAGAGAAGTTTGAAACTTTTGCAATGACAATTGGTTGAGGGGAACCAATATCTTACAAGCTGCTGATAAACTATATAACCCAGAACCATGATACAACAGATCCAATTGCCAGACCCATCACTAAGAACAATACAAGTACGGTCCCAGCTATCTCTGCTTTTTGCAGTTGGACAGTTTTTGGACCCAAGATCATTAGCAAACTAGTCAGGTAGCCATTAGTTAATCCCAGTAGACAGGTTAGTATTGTCACAGGAAACTCCGTCCTAAAGAATTTAGGCCCATGTAAGCAACCATAGAATAGAGGCAAAAACAACAGCCTTGCAAAGCAGGCACTAATAGCAACCTTTGCATTATCAAGAAATAATATAGGAGTCAGAGACTTCCCAACCAGATCAAACACATTGTAGCCAGTAATCAGCATGATCGGATACCAATCCTTCAGAAGTTGAGAATGCACGTCTTCTGTGACATATCCTGGAAATATGCACAAAGTGACCACATAAATGCTGAGGATGCCAAACCCATACCATTTTACTGTCCCAACAATGTCCAAAGTTGATCGCCATAATTCCGGAGTTAAGTCACCCTTATCCTCTTTCTCCTCATTCACAGCCTGAATTTTGAGATCATTGTAGTATTTAATTACTGGAAGTCTATGTGCCACATTGTAAAAGACTATGCACAAAATCATCACAGCAATGCTGAAAATGAAATAAAGGTTAGCGCTCCTTCTCAGCCCTTGAGCATCTTGTGGATATACAGCTTTGGTTAAAATTCTCAGCAATGAAACTAGGACACCTGCAACACAGAACAAGAATCTTAAGATTTCTACATGACCACATCCCAACTTTCTGATCTTAAAAAGCTGATTGGACAGAAAAGAGTAAGAAAACAAATGTTAAAAGCCAAGAGACTTAGAGAAGTTATATTTAGAATGTTCTGTTCTAGATTCATTCTATATATTTAATTAATAGTATGGAATACTCTTCATGATTCTGTTATAATAAGGAATCTCGGTATTCATATATCCCTCCTTGCTTAGTTACTTTCATTAACTCATGTAGTCTGTACTTTCCTTTTTTTCTAACAGTCTAAACTTCTGTATAAGGAGCTTCTTGTATATTGCTTATAAACAATCACAATAAAACGTTTTTTCCGTTATTCCCTCTTTTCACATCGTACCATGGCTCTATTGTTAAAACCTAAGTAGTTTAACAGCAGGCAGCCTTATGTTGCATACGTCGTAAAGAGTTCTTTTTTTTTTCTCACAATTTTACTAGTCTGGCCTCTTTCTAGTGACTTCTAGCATCATCACTCTGTTTCTCTGATGACCATTCGACATCATTGTTCACTTTTCCAGCTACTATTTTGGGATCTATCTGAAACTCTATGTCAGCTGACCTATCAAGTTAGCACTCCAAACAATCCTGTCAAGTTAGCTGTCTATATATGTCTACTAGTCAAGCCAACGGTAGTCACACACCCAGTCAGCTGCCATATCATTGTCCAATCATCACTGCAATGCCATCAAACAGTAACTTCTTTTGGCTTACTTGATTTGAATATCAAAGTTTAATATGTAAAATCTTACTGTTTCAGTAGCTTGAGTATGTCTAGGAGCATGTTGAAAGTCAAAAGAATTAATGCAGTTATGTGATAAGATGTTTTAAGATGCATTTTATGTGTTTATATAATAGTAGAGATTATTATTTTAATTCAATCATAATAACTAATCTCGACTGTAAGTAATTTTTCTTATTTAATAACTTTTCTCATTTCTAGTAGTCCAAACTTCATAATAGGAAGCTCCCACGTAAGCTCCTTTTAAGGAAGCTCTTGCATGTTCTTCATAGCCAATTGTAAAAAGAGGCTTTCACTCATATTTTCTCTCTTTTTAGGACAAATGTAATATTTGATAGTGGGACTCATAAGACACGTCATGCAATATCTTCCAGGTTGACAATGCTACAAGGAGCTCACAGATGCCTAACAAGAGATAATATTTGCTGAACAATAGTTAGCATTACTTCTATTTTTATATTTTGAGTAGGAGTTAGCATTATGTTTTTGTTTCATTGCGTACCATCTTCCACCAAAAAGAGCAGCAACAGATATCCATTTTTTTTTTGTATAAAGATCAGTTGACACATATGGATAGGTAAATGAAATCATCTATTCATATTTGATAAGGCCATCATAGGGAACACTGCTAAACACCTAAAGTCCTCGTGTGACTAATCTTGGTTGTTACTTTATCAATCACCCTCATATTAATCACAAAGAGTACTCCAGTCAGTATGTTTGCAGAATGCACCAGAGATAATAGCAAACATCAATTGCTTAAGAGAAAAAAAGAAGCACGACACCGTGCCAGTAAAAGAGATCCATTGAGGTCTCTCGTCCAATATATCAAAGTTAATGGTGATTGACTCCCGAGAAACGTCAACAACAACAACAACAACGACCAAGTATAGTCCCGCAAGTGGGGTCTGGGAGGGTAGTATGTATGCAGACCTTACCTCAACCCCGATGGGGTAGAGAGGCTGTTTCCGATAGACCCTCGGCTCAGATTGACGTCGAGTCGTCAAATTCTTAGCCAAAAGCACCTCGATAGTTTGGATTCAATTGGTATGTGAGTTGAGGCTTTTTGTCTTTTTGGGGATAAGTCGAATACAAGTTGAGTTTACGAAGCCGTGAGAAAATTGTTTCATCTATCACCATGACAAACTAATGGTATCAGATCGCTGAGACAAGTTACATAGAGACTGAAAGAAGAGCACTACGTCACCTAAAAAGTCTGAAATGTTTGCTGGGTCTGCCTGCATTTAACTACCTAGACTACAACAAATGCTACAGCTTTAACAAAATCAAAATCTAGGGTAAAGATAATGTGGGACTATGAGATTTTAATGCAATTGATAGAGATCATCTGCATGCCAAGATAAGGTTAGACAATTAGAAACACAAGTTTTCGCAGCTTTTGCAGATAGCAACATTCAGGGAGAAGATCTTAAAGTCCCCCAAATTCTGAACAGTTCATTTGTAAAACTAGTGAAGGCATCATGTTGACTCATGGGCAGATAATTTCCCTGAACAACTGTTTGAATATCTACTGTAGCTTTAACATGAGTAACACTCACCAAGAACAAGACCCAGGTCATAGTTAAAATTGGGTCGCATCAACTCTAACTTTTGTATCAGCTAAGCCTCAATCCCAAATTATCTGAGATCCCTCAATGAATCATCTCAGCCTCAATCCCAAATTAACTGAAATCTCTCAATGAATCATCTCTCATATCACAGAATTTCATTCCGATACATCTAAATCAAATACTATAGCTAACAAGATTACCCCAGGTTGCAACATTGATGCAACCAACCAGTTTTAACTCACATAAGCAGAATTCAATCAGGAAAAAAAGAGAAGAAAAGCAAGCTAACTTTATCCTTGTACATAGTATTCTTTCTGTCACAAAATGTGACACTCTTTCCTTTTTAATATGTTCCAAAAATGAATAACATATTTCTATATCCGAAATAATTTAATTTCAATTTTCATATTTTACCCATGATTTATACCCACAAAAATTTCTATAGGTCTTTTTAGACCACAATTTTCAAAAGTCTGACTGTCAAAAAACGGCACATAAATTGGGAGAGAGTATAGTCTTTGCTGAATTTGAAAAATTAAACAAATCATCAACTGAAGGATCAGATGCTATCACCAAAAGATGTAGTAACATCAGACTCAAATTATCCATAGAAAGAGTCAATCTAGGTCAGACGCTGAAAAGTCAACGAGCAAAATGAGGAATAGTTAGTATACCGGAAGCAGCAGTTCCGGCGACGGTAGCCTGCATGTACCTGTCCGGCAACTCACCGGCTGCCCCAATGACTCCACCTTGAACCAACGCATCAGCAATCCCGCAAAGTCCGACCAATCCGACCGTCACATAAAACCCACTATACACTCCAATACTCCCCTTAACATAAAACACATCCATCAACGGCACCGTCACAAGAGCGACAACAAACAGAAACATGCCGACATTAATCCGCACAAAAGAACTGGTTTTATTAGCAAAAGCGACAATGAAGAGCAAGCAAATGAAGCCGATGATCATGTAAACAATGGCGAAGATACGGTCGACCATTACGTCTGGGTAAAGGTAAGAGAAGTAATCGACGGCGGTGATGAATGCGTTCCATGGGAGAAGGTAACCGGTACCGAGAGTGAAGTAAATGATATAGGCTATGTGGAATGTGTCCTTTGGAATTTTGGGATTAGAGGAAGGAGGTAGTAGAGATGCGGTGGATTCTGAATCGGCGATTACAGTGGTTGCACCCATCGGCGGTCTTCTGTCTTTTCTCGCTTTTTCTTGACTTAATTTCTTTTTGCGATAAGATAGACTGGTATTTTCGTAGTGGTTAGTGGGATCAGCTTACGTGAGATAGTGGACCGACCATGTGAGGAATAAGATAATTACTCCACCAAAATAGGATTAGATATTTTAGCTAATTATCATCACGAGTTATAGTTGGATAAATAATATGTTTAGATCTTTAATAAATTCCACATTAGATTAATCGGGACCTAAATATAGAGACGGAACAATAATACATTCAGCTAATTGTGGGAGGGGATGTGGACAATAATTGGAAATTGGAGCGACGTGTAACAATCGGTCAAGTATTTGTGTATTATAATTGAAGGAATGTTAATTGATAATTGTATTTGGTTTTTGAGCTAAGCAAGTCAGACTTCTAAGCAAAGGTGGTGATGAAGAGGATGACTTGTTTTGCCCGAGTATTTTCAATTCTTCTTTTTTGTTTTCTGTGGGAAAGATGAGTGTCTTTTTTTTTTTTTTATCTATAAGATTAAGTACTTTCATTGCTTCAAGGTGCATACATGGAGAGTGGTGCAGGTGCACCACTAGTAGCATAAGGAAAGAGATTCTATATCTATAGTTCCATCCCTTGATGGATCATTACAAAAAAAAGTGGTATCAGTATCTGTTAATACCCAATTTTTCCCTGTATATTTTTATGTAAAATATCTTTAAAAAATAATGTATATATGCATATATAAGTATGTCCAAGCATCTTACTATTTTTTCCATAATTTTTAAGGTTTTTAAACTGATTTATTTCCCTTTTTCATCCATAAAAACCCAATGATTATTTCCAAAATTGTTATTTTGGTAATTCATTTATTGGAATTTTATATTTATATTAAAATATGGCTAAGGTATTTTTTACACATTTTTTACAAATTTATTTGGTATTTTTAAGGATAGAATTGCATAATTGCAATATTAGCCATTTTTAGGTTTAAATTCGTCTCATATTCATAAAAGGAGATTTCATATTTTTAAATGGATAATTATGGATTATAGATCATTTTGGTGCTTTCAATTTATTCCCAGAAATCAATTTACTATTTTTTATAATTTTAAAAGTTAAAATTGGCTATTTAAATAATAGCCCAATTCGTTTCAATTTTAGCCTAAAATCTGACCCCAAATTGGACCCCAATTTCCAGACCAATTTCAATTAAAACCCTACCCAGGCCCCAATTACCCCTACCCGACCCAAAACCATATACCATTTTAAGCCAAAAGACCCCCCCCCCCCCGAAACCCCTCCATTTTCCTCACTCGTCTCTATCTCTCTAACCTCTGGTTCTCTCTAGAACCTTCCCCCTTCCCCTCCTCTCCGATGAATCCCCTTCATCTTCTCCGGCCACCTTCTGACCTGAATCCATGGTGGTTTCACCACCCACCAAGCCACCTATGGCCCCTCACGTTTGGTTACTGAATTTTTCATGACGTGACCACGAAGAGTTGGGTCTATGCCTCTGTCGATTCATGTTCCACGGCCATTTCCGGCCTTGCTCCGGCAAGCCATGTTTGTTCGAGCCTGGCCTCAACTCCTCTTGCTTAGATCCAAGCCTTTCTCACCGTGGGTTCCTCTGAAAACCCTAGCTTTGAGGTTTTTCTGATCTCTTTAGATCTGTTCCAGATTTATGCTTTCCCTAAGTTTCTAAACGATTTTCCGATTTTTTTTTCAAAAAAAAAATAATAAATTAATGCTTTAAAAACCTTTATTTTTCGATCTAGGGTTTTGAGTTATGTTTCTCTGATTTTATTGTGTGTTTCTCTGATTTTCTTCTTCTCTTGTGTGTTCTCTACTATGTTTCTCCTGCTGTGTTCTTGTTAAATCTCTTCTACCATGTTCTTCTATTATGTTGCTCCTACTGTGCTCTTGTTAAGATTTTCCTACCATGTTCTTATTTGTTTCTTCTACCAGTTCTTCTACTGTTGTTTCACATATTATTTTTTGCTTTGTTTCTCATGAGTTTCTGTTACTGAAAAAGCATGTAGAAGGTCCCAGTTCCTTTCTGAGACCTTTGAACTTGTTTCGACTAGTATATTTTGCTTTCTTGATTACTCGCCCTCTCATCTCGGCACTCAATTGATGGTAAAACCCTAAAAAATTAGGGGGTTCATCCGGGTTTGAGAACATTGGCTATGTGATATGTTTGTTCTTCATCTTTAAAGCTGTCTGATTTCAGAAACCCTAACTATTTCGAGGTTCTGAGCTTGTTTCTCAACTGAGTCTCAAAACTCTTTGTCTCAACCTCTGTCTCTTTAAGCAATTCTGATTTTCCACTAAAACTTTTCTAAGGTCTTTTACACTGGATTTTTTGTATGCTACTAGATGCTACTTCTCTTCTGCATTGCTAACCTATGTGACTACCATGCTCCTATAGTCTGCTATCTACTGATTTTGCATTGACACGACATCTTCTTAACATGTTTGTATGCTCTTTATATGCGTTGAACTTCCCCTTTAAAATGGCTTTCAAATTTTGATTAGTTTCAGACTTCCTTCTGTATAGGTTTGATTGATTGATTTCCTTGTTTGTTGATTTCCCTATGACTCGATTTAAGTTATTTGACTTTTCTTAACTTTTCTGACTTGGTTCATTCATGGACCAGTGATTACAAAATCTCTGATCTTTGATTTACTGGCTACTAATTGATTTCTCTTACCTTATTTATGCAACCGTGTATTTCAAAGCTCTGCCCCTAAAATAAACTCCTATGTATTTACCCCTAATTGCCTACTTTGCACAAAATGCTTGTTTGATTTCTTTCCTTAAATAACTTTTACCGTTTGAATCTGAATTCCTTAATTAAAGAAAATCTTGTGTGATTGATTCTTAATTGATATTCAGTTCCTTAACTATTTTCTTACCTTATTTCGGCCTGATTTTCACACTATAAATCCACGACTCTTTCATAAACAGCACTCACTCATAGTCTTTCTGAACTCACACTTACACGCGATAGTATCTTCTCTTATTGTCTGCATTGTGGCCTGTTTGCAAGACTTACTGCTTTTCTCTACTTGTTTCTTTGAAAATGGTATGTTCTGATTTAAGTTTTAGCACCACAACAATGTGTTTATCCCTGTCTACTTACTGTTTTTGCATAGTTCAGCATTACTGATTTCTTTTCCTGCCTGTTCTGTTACGAATCCCTATTCCCCACCCCCTTGTGTGTTTAAGCTATGGTTTGGAGCATGACAATATGTAAATTGTTGCCCATGAATCAAACCTGATCCCTTGGGACCCTAGCCTCTATTAATGTGTGTTTGGACAAGCTTAGGGTATGCTAGCATTCTCCATTGCTGGGCATGCCCACAGCCTGCCCCTGCCTTTTTCAATTTCCCTATTCCCCTGAACCCCTTATGTGTACTTATTTCCCTCTCCTTTTTCCCTTTCCCCTATCAGAATTCTACTTCTGCACTTGCACTCTCTCTTAGTTTTTAAGTTCTGCCCCCCTCTTGTGAGCCTTGCCTTGGGACCCTGAGTTCCCTCTGAACTTGGACACTTGAGGGCTGGCCTTTCCACACTGCACTTGTGTTAATCTGGTAATACATTTGGGTGTGAGCATTGCCCGGAGTCCCTTTGAGGCTCTTAGGGAACTTTGACACACTCGAATGGGAGAAAAGCTTTGGATCATGATCTTATGGAGTTGGTTTACCTCATATTTCAGACATGAAGTCTGAATCAGGCTCTCCTTGGTTGTACTTGTATATGTTTCTTTTTTTTTCTGATGTATTTTTTTTTACTTTAATCTGGGCTGTAATAACTTGTAATAAACTCTTGGGGACGGCTAGTGAAAAGGGCGGATAACTATGCATGCAAAGGGTAGATACCATGTCTATAATTATTTTGAATTTTGCATATTCAAATGCATATAGAAATCATGCCTATAGGTACCTTTGAATAATTCACGCATATAGAAATCATGCCTATAGGCCCTGCTAGATCCTGTGTATTCCTTATCATCTAGAAATTATGTCTATAAGTATCTGGAAATCTGAATTCTGCATATGCATATAGAAAATATGCCTATAAGACCTTTCAAATCCTGTATATTCATCTTTTCATCTAGAAATCATGTTCATAGGTCTAAAACGAGTCTTCTGCATTTTTTATACCATATCCACAAAAGGCTTAAAACCAACTACGCATAGAAAGTATGTCTATAGGAACTATTAATTGAATCTGAATCGCTTCATTCGCGCATAGAGCTAAAACCAGTAATAACGATGTATCATCATTTGCAGAACTTACAGCCTTCGTAAAAAGTTGCCTTTCTTTAATAATCTGACTATATTTTTAACCAGTACGTATTCAGTTTATTGTTATTGCGCTCGTAATTCAGTAGATACCATGCCCATAGGATCCTTGTCCAACACTTAGGCAAACCTTAGGGTAAAATTAAATCTGTTTCTGTTAATAGCTACAACCAGCAGGCAGGCCTGGTTCGGGCTTCTTATCTGAAATATGTAACAAATCAGCCTGCCTCAACCTTTAAGTTCTCGCATGTTTAATGCTTAATCAGACCTTAACTAGTATGTGTAAGTCATGCTAAAAAATGTGTTTCTTTGTTAAGGGGGATATATCTGAGCCTTTGCGTGTGATGTTCTTTTCCCTAACTTGCTATTCATGTTTTGTATGTCGCCTTAGAATTTTTACCTTTAAAACCACAAATAAGCCTAACATCCCTACCTCCCTTAGGATTAGTAGTCCTAAATCCCCCGGGACTAATAGGATTGGGACGGGTAGTAGCATGCAATAGGTAAGCGAGACCATTTCGCATTTAATACCTTAACGGGGTGGGAAGGGTAGATACAGATATGATGACCACGCGATAATGTCACGTGTAGCCCCTCATTGAGGAGTGATTACCGGGCATTGTGTGGGGTGATCCATATTATTAATAAACCTAGGACCCCCCTCCCTTTATTCTTTCTTTCCAGTATTTTAAACTATTCTTTTTAAAATCAGCTTTTCTAATTGTTATTTCAAACTTTGTTCACTTTCAAACCTTTATGTGATAGAAAATCCCCTCTTATTTGAGCTTTATTTGTCTATATGCTAATTGTACCCAAATTCACAATAATAGTCTGGC